GCGCCACCGACCGGAGGGCGCCCGCTATCCCGAGTCACACGAGTGACACGCCTTCAGCTGGCCCTTAACCCTGTGCCACGCCCTTCCTGTCCCGCAGGCGCGTCTGAGATCCACCCACAGCCCGAGCACGGTCCTTGCACACCGCGGCCTCACGCCTCAGAGTCCACACCCTTTAAAGTTCCCTCCAGCGAAGGGTTTTAGCGGCACTGTCGCCGCTTTTGTCCCAAACTGTCTTTCTTTCCCCTCGGTCCCTGCCTGGAATTCCCGTTCGTGTCTGTGGAATTCTAGACTGTCGCTGTCACTGTCCCTCTCGAGACACGGAGTGTGATGCTCGAGCCTCTGGCCTCTGCTGTCACTGCGGGTCCCGTGAGTGTCACCGCCGCTCTTACGCTTCCAGGACCTTCGCCTTCGGGGTTCTGCGGCGTCGCTGGACACACCCTCTTCTTCCCTTTTTAAAAGTCACGCCGGAGATCCTTGGGCTTCTTAAGTCTGTGTTTGTATTTCCTTCGGATCTGGAAAATTCTGAACATTCTTGCTTTAAACTACTGTCCCCATGTCCTCTCTTCCTCTGAACTGTGGTTCCTGGATGGAACCACATGTCCCCACACGGGCATGTCACCTCGCAGAAACGGTGACGCAGAAGGAGAGGGAGACGCGGGGAGACGCTCACGAGTCACGGCGCGGGGTGGGTTCTGCTGAGCGGTTCGGGTTCTGCTGAGCGGTTCGGCTTCCGCTGAGAATGAACTGCGCATGTGCAGGAAGGGGGCGGGCGACGCGGCTGTGTGACCTGGGTGACGCCACCACGGATTAAATGCCCTTCTAGTTGCTCTTAAAACCGGCATTGCACAGAATAAAAGTCACGCTAATCCTCAAACATTGTTCCTCACTCAGAACATTAACAACAGAGAAAGAAACGCCGCGGTCCGGTGGGCGGAGGCGCCGGCCGCACAGGAAGCTCTAGTTTCAGAGCCTTCGCGGCGCGATACTCAAGGCTTGGACCGAGGGTCGTGTCACTGCCACGGTCCCCGCGTCCTCACCCCACGCCTTCGCCGCGGGCCCAGCTACAGACCCTGCGGCTCTCAGCTCATCAAGAGCGCGGCCCTGCACCCCGTTGCTGCCCTGCGCCCCGGCCCCCTCCGCGCTCGGACCCCCGGCCCCTCCTGCCCCCTCCTCTGCGCCAGCAGCCCCCGGAGGTCCGCCCCCAGCGACCGTGCGGTTCGGCTTCCCAGCTGCACCTGGAACAATGGGTCGCTCTCTGTCCCTGGAAACCCTCTAACGTTTGACATGCAAGACACAGGCTGTCCCCTGACGCTCGGGTCCCTGGGCCGCAGCTCTGAGCCGGCCATGCCCGGGCCCCCCGCACCCCGCTCGGCCACGCTCCAAACTCTGCCGACGGCGATCGTCGCGTGCGGGGCCGCGTGCCTTCTCCCCGAAGCCCCAGGCTCAGCTGCCACCTGCCAGCGGGCACCTCCTCTTCCAGATGTCGCAGGCGGCTCAGACCGCGGTGTGCAGCGGGGCCTCCATGTCCCTCCCAGACCTGCGCGCTCTACCC